TGCCTAGGGCCAGGGCCGAGGCTGGCCCTGTCTGGCACCCCTCTCAGGTCGTCCGGTGACCGCGCGAGCGACCGATCGCTGGACTGAGCGAAGGAAAGGAGGAGGCAGGGGGGCCGAGACGTTTTGAGGGTGTGTCTAGCGGGAGGAGAACCGCCAGGGCCAAGCGTCTAATCCGCGGGGAGGCGCCGAGCTAGGCGGAGAATCGCCAGAGGGCAGCCGCGGCCCGGGTTCGATTCCCGGTCAGGGAAGCCTTTCTTCTTTCTCTCTGGACCCCCGCCTCCTCCAAGCCCTCTGTCTCCTCTTGCCACCTCACGCGGGATCCTTGGCGCCAACAAATCACACGCCTCCCTTTTGTTCAGGGGCATCGCGCCTCTGCTCGCCCCTGCTGCGCTCACGCCACCACCCATCACAACAAAGCCCGTTCCCTGTCTGCACAGCTCACCCATTGCCTCGCTTCCCACTGCCGCCCACCGTGTCTCACACAAGACGCCAACTCTGCGCCTGGACAGCTCAGCCTTGCTGCTTCCCGTCCTGCCCAGCTCACACACCGCCACCATCCCGCGGGCACACACACCCACCACGCAGCCCTGGAGCACACGCTTCCGAGCCACTCATGGACCCCACAGAGTCTCCACCTCACTCCCCCGCCTGCTCTGAGGTCCAGAAGAAGCCCCAACTGCACCACCTGCCTCACCTGCCTCCTCACAGCCTCCCTGTGAGCTTTACCCTGCTCTTCACAACTCAACGTAGGCTTCAAACAAGTGTAGCCATATTTTGAGTGAGTGAGTGAGTGAGTGAGTGAGTGAGCGAGCGAGCGAGCGAGCGTGCGTGCGTGCGTGCGTGCGTGTGTTTGTGTATAGGTATGTTATTTTTTTATGTATATCTTGAAAGACTCCAGGGTGGTGTTGGATGGGATGGGGAGGGACGGGACCTTCGGTGTGTCGTGGGATTGCCCTGGGGAGGTGTTACTGCGGGGCAGATGGCCGGATCAAGGCGAAAAGCATCCGGTGTGCTTACCTTATTCAGCGCCGCCGCCTGGGCGGGCAGTGCGCGTTTCCACCAGCCCCGGTTTCCTCGAAAGCCCCTAGAGCGTCTAAGGAGAGCTGAGGCCAAGTCTGGCGTTTGCAACGCCCCCGTTTCTCCGGCTCCTTGGGGACCGGGGCGCGTGGGTGTGGGGGAGAGGTGCAGGCGCAGGTGTGAGTCGGAAAACTGGAGCGGAACGTCGGTCCACCAGTTGGGTCCACCCCCGGGGTGGGTTCCCTCGGTCCTGCCCGTGCCAGCAAGTCCGAGGCCCAGAGTCAGATCCTTGAGTGCTGACGGCTGGATTGAGCTCCGCCCGGATGGCAGGCATAGTGGGAGATGCCAGTAGATCCTGGGGGAGCCCAGACAGAGCCTTTTCCCCACCGGACTCCAGCCCTCCCCTGTCCCAGAAGCCCTCCCAGTCCCGGGCGCCTGGAGACACCAGTGTGAAGCGGCATCTGGGAAGGGTCCGTCAGGCCGCC